AAGCAACAGTAGCTAGCCTATTTCCAAAGGTGATAAAAAGAGGTAAAGAAGGAAGAACACTATATACTGGTTTAATGGAACTACATACTCAACAGTAAGATATCATCATTGTATATGCACCAAACTACAATGCACCCAACTTCATAAAACAATGGGACATAAAAGATCACCTCAAAACAGAAATACAAGAGTTGAACCAAACCTCTGAACAAATAGACATATATATGAAATGTTCTACCCAACAACAGAATACATATTTTTTGGCAACACAAGGTACTTCCTCTAAAACAAATTGCATACTAGTTAATAAAACATGCTTAGGTAAATTCAAAGAATAAAAAAATTTACTGTGCATATTATCAGATCAAAGTGTAATGAAACTAGACATTAATAGCAAAAAAAAAAAAAAATAGCAAAAAAACCCAGAGTATGCAAATGTATGTAAATTAAACAGCACATTCATTAACCAATCAATGGGTTACAGAAGAAATTAAGGAAGAAATAAAACAGTTCCTAGAATTAAATGATAATGCCAGTTCTGGGTGTCAAAGGCAAGGCAGGGGGCATCACAATCCTCAACTTGAAGCTATATTACGAAGCTACTGTGATAAAAACAGTATGGAAATGGCAAAACAAGAAGAGACTTGATTGATGGAACAAACGCATTAGAAGATGCAGTAACAACTCCAAACACACTCACCTACCTTATCTTTGACAAAGGGGCCAAATACTTTCATAGAAGAAAAATAACTTCCTTCAGTAAATGATCCTGGGAAAACTGGCTTTCCACATTCTAAAATTAAAACTAGACCCATCTCTCTCACCATGTACTAAACTAAATTGAAACAGGTCAAAGATCTAAATATGAAGAAAGAAACAATCTATTGGAAGACAGAATAAATAAAACTCTTAAAGACAAAGGTGTACAAAAAGACTTCATGAAGAAAACCCCAACCACACAGGAAATATTACAATGAATCAACAATTGCATCTCATCTTATTAGAAAGCTTTCACATGGCAAAAGAAATTGCCAACAGAGTGAAGAAACAAACCACAGAATGCAAAATTTTTACCAGCTAACCCTCAAAGGACTAATATCTAGGCTATATAAAGAACTCAAAAAAAAAAAAAAATCATACCCTTCTCCAAATTTAAAGACCCAGACTCCACGTTCACCACTGAGCAGATCAGACCTTGCTCCCTCGTGCACCACACTCCACTTCCTCGAGACCACGTCTGACACACCCCATATGACTGGAGAAACTCGGTAAGTCAACATTGAAGAAGACAGAAACACAAGAGAAAAATCCCCTGCCTTCAAAAGAAACAACTGAACAAGAGAAGCAAGTGGGCAAATCCTAAAGAGGTATGCACTGCCGATATTCACTATACATTCCACAAGTACTGTCTTATTTTACTTCTTTTAGCTGTTTAATTTTATAAGATGCAAAGAGGTGGATCAAGTTTAAATGACTGTGCTGCCTCTTTCACATCCGAACTACTGACAATGAAGGCCTCGCCTGCCTCCCCCGTCAGCCTGTATGGCTGGCAGGAAGGAGAACAGCTGGCATGTTGGTACAAGAAGAGGCTGGGTGGGAGGATGGTGAAATCTAGAGTGAACTTCAAGCTGGTCCAAGGTGTCCTGCAGGCTGTAAAATGCAGTTTAATCAGAGTGCCATTTTTTTCTGTTCAAATGATTTTAATGATTGGAATGCACAACTTTTTTAACATTTTTAACATGCAAATAAAGTTTTAATACATGAAAAAAAATTTAAAGACCCAAACAGTATCTTGGGCCAGAGAGATAGTTCAGTGGACTAAGCACCTGCTTAGGCAAGCACAGGGACCAGGGTTCGATCCCTGGCACCACATGCCACACCAGCCCCACCCTCAGGCACACTGAGCTGGCCACTGAGTCTGGACATGGTGGCACACACCTGTGATCCCAGCCCTGGGGAGGCTGAAAACAGGAGGATCACTACGAGTCTGAGCTGCATAGTGAGACCCTATACCAAATACATTTTTTTTAAAAAAGCAGCAAATGAAATGAATGGACACTTGTCAGATGAAGTACAAACAGCAAATAAATATATTATTAAAATGTTCAACATCACTGGTCGTTCAAGAAATGCAAATTAAAACAACACTGAGATTCCATCTCACTCCAGAAAGAATGGCTATTATCAGGGAGTATAAATTGATCAATATGGAAATCAATATGGAAATTCCTCAAAAAACTGAAA